CCTGAGACACCTGGGGACACCTGGGGACACCTCCTGAGACCCCTGGGGACACCTGGGGACACCTGGGGACACCTCCTGAGACACCTGGGGACACCTGGGGACACCTCCTGAGACACCTGGGGACACCTGGGGACACCCCTGAGACACCTGGGGACACCTGGGGACACCCCCTGGGGACACCCCCTGTGTCTCCTGCTGTTACCCCAGTGCCACCTTGGGGACATCGGTGTCACTCTTTGAGCCCCTGGGGGACACCCTGAGGCCACCACGGCCACCCCTGTGTCACCCTGGGGACCCGGCTGTCACCCCTGTGTCACCCTGGGGACCCGGCTGTCACCTCCTGTGTCACCCTGGGGACCCGGCTGTCACCTCCTGTGTCACCCTGGGGACCCGGCTGTCACCTGTGTCACCCTGGGGACCCGGCTGTCACTTCCTGTGTCACCCTGGGGACCCGGCTGTCACCTCCCCTGTGTCACCCTGGGGCCACCAGGGCCACCCGGTGTCCCCCCCCGAGGAGCAGTGACAAATAAAGGTGCCAAGGAGCCACTCTGGTGTCCCCTGGTGTCCCCTGGGCTGGGGACAGGGCCGGGCGGGGGCTGGGACAGGCTGGGGACACCCTGGGGACAGGCTGGGGACAGGTTGGGGACACCCCGGGCAAAGGTGGCAGGGCGGCACCCCCCCGTTATCTGTCCCCCGATATCGTCCCCAAGGCCACCGGGGCCATAAACAGAGGGACAAGGACACCCGGGGGTGGCATCGGGGGTGGCACCGAGCGGGGACACTGCGGGGACCCGGGCGGCGGGGGTGGCACTGCCTGGCGACATGGGAGTGGCACTGAGCGGCGACATCGGGGTGGGGATGGCACTGCCCAGCGACATCGAAGGCGGGGGTGGCACTGCCCGGCGACATCGGGGCTGGCATTGCCCGGTGACATCGGGGTGGGGATGGCACTGCCCGGCGACATCGAAGGCGGGGGTGGCACTGCCCGGCGACATCGGGGCTGGCATTGCCCGGTGACATCAAGGGCGGGGGTGGCACTGCCCGGTGACATCGGGGGTGGCACTGCCCGGTGACATCGGGGGTGGCGCTGAGCGGCGACATCAGGGATCCAAGGGCGGGAACCCGCCCGGCGCAGGGACAGAGGGCACCGGGTGGCACCGGGTGGCACTGTCACACTGTCACACGGGGTGGCACTGGGGAGGCAGTGTCACGTGGGGAGGCACGGGGATGGCACTGTCGCACGGGGATGGCACTGTCGCACGGGGGTGGCAGTGTCGCACGGGGATGGCACTGTCGCACGGGGATGGCACTGTCGCACGGGGGTGGCAGTGTCGCACGGGGATGGCACTGTCGCACTGTCGCCCGGGGGTGGCACGAGCCTGACCCTGTCACCATCGGGCCCTGTCCCCGCAGGGTCCCTCCCCACGGCCTGGGGGACACCGGGGACACCGGTGACACCTGGGGGACACCGGTGACACCTGGGGGACACCGGGGACACCTGTGGGACACCTGGGGGACACCTGGGGGACACCTGGGGGACACCGGGGACATCTGTGGGACACCGGGGACACCTGGGGGACACCGGGGACATCTGTGTGACACCTGTGGGACACCGGGGACACCTGGGGCACACCTGTGGGACACCGGGGGGACACCGGGGACACCTGTGGGACACCGGGGGGACACGGGGGATGTGGCACCGGCACAGGCGGGTGACATCCCGCCGCCACCCTGTGCCACCCCCGCTGTCCCCAGAGCGGTGCCCGCGGGTGGCCCTTGGTGGCACCGCCACCCTCGGCTCCCAAATGCCCGCGTTTTGTCCCCGGGGGGGGGCGGGGCCGGGGGCGGGGCCGGGGGCGGGGCCGGGCTCGCCCCGCCCCGATCGATCGATCGCGATCGATGGGCGCGGGTTAATGATCGATCCGGCCCGGGCTGATTGGCCCCGGGGCCATCGGGCCAGCGCGGGGGCGGGGGGGGTTTAAAGGCGCGGGTGGCACTTGGGGACATCCCCGACAGCATGGCCGCGACCCTGGCACTGCCCGCAGCGCTGCTGGCCGCGCTCCTGGCGCTGGTAGGGGACACGCGACACCGCGATGGCACTGGAGGGGACAGGGGACACCGCGGGTGGCACTGGAGGGGACACGCGACACCACGGGTGGCACTGGGAGGGACAGGGGACACCGCGGTGGCACTGGAGGGAACAGGGGACACCACGGGTGGCACTGGAGGGGACACGCGACACCGCGGTGGCACTGGAGGGGACAGGGGGGACACCGTGGGTGGCACTGGAGGGGACAGGGGACACCGCGGGTGGCACTGGGAGGGACAGGGGACACGGAGGGGGGCACTGGGGGGGGAAGG